AATAATCTTGGAAACTGCTAGTCTTCAACTGGCATTCTACATAGTCATTACAGGCGCTGGTACATTTATTTCACGACGCATTCTTCATCTGAAACGACCGAAGTAATTAAGATTAAATAAAATACTAAAATAATAATTTTTTATTAATTTGTATTCAATGCAGATAACTTCATGTATTTATGTAAAACAATATATCTTAATTGAATTAACAATACATTGTAATCACTAACAAGTACAAAATGTATTGTTTGTACACAACTATAAAACAATACAAAACAGGAATCATGGAAATTCATGGCTTTCACGTAATTGCAATGAATGCATTATAAAATATCTAAACCAATCCTTTGAATATTTTGGACAACGTAAACCTTCACTATAAAGATACAACTCCTTCAAAAACACTTGTTTAAGAATGAACCAATTATACCAACAATAAAAGAAGAAGAAAGCACAGATGAACAATACAACAAAGTTACGAATGAAAAGGAAAAACAAACCAGCAACAAAATACATTAAAACCAAACAAATCGTTCTAAAAAAAGGTAACCCAATATCAGTAACACAACACTAAAATTTAAATATGAACAAAATGCATGGTTTCTTATTTCCAATTTTGTATAAAATATTTGTTTTTTATTTACATCTTTCAGTGTCTTAGGTCCGCCAGGATCTTTCAAATAGAAATTTAAATTCTATTTGAAAGACCTTGGGTCCGCAAAAATGGACAACGGATCATTAATCCAGACGACATTATTTGTTGAAACCATTTTTTACTTACTGAAATGGCAGTAAACAGTAATGATGTTTTTATCCAGCTGCAACGCAACTTTCAGCATGTGTTGTTTCTAAACTATGTTTCTTCTTGCAGTGTTCTTGTGTGCTCTGGTTGTCCTGCAACTGCATTCTAATACTGGAGAGTATCGTCTGCAAGTTACTAAACTAATGATATAACTTATGTAATAAAAATAACAACTTTAACTTAGTATGTTGACCTCGTTGAGAACTCGCAATAGAATGCAGTTTAAAATTAAGACATGAAGCTCATTCAACTTTGAACTTACTTATCATATTTATACTGATGAACAATAAAAATACTAGTCACACTATTTGCAAGTCTACTGTCTACTGTATCTATTAAATCCAGTTTAGTTTTCATAAAACTATTAAAGCAGCATATCTCCAGATTCATGCTATTTTTTCAACTTACTGTGGTAGTCATGCAGTAGAAATATGATGATAAATACTGCAAAATCAGTCATTAATCACCCATAACTTATTACTTGAATCTTCAATCTTTTTATTACTTTTCTTAGAATCTAAGTACATTTTTATCATGTTTGATTTTTTTGCAAAAGTTAGCTCATTTGGAGGCATGCAGCTTAAATTTTCCTTGTATCAGCAAAATATTAACAACACCAATACCAAGAACCATTACTTTCATCCTATATATAAAGCAACAACAGTAGCAGTGGCATCAGCAATAACAATGACAAATTATTACAAATCAACAAGTTATAATATTTCGTATATAAAACATATCATTTGAGCATAAGTTTCATAAAGCAAAGAAATTAAAATCAGGATAATTTGATCCTGATCCTGATATCTTTAGTGAACACGGGGTTAGGGGTTACACCTTCAAGCTGCGGTAAGATCATGGTCTTAGTTATAGTCTGTATGCATCTATTCAAGCAGTCCTATTCTACTTTATAAAAGAATATAAATTATTACATAACGCTCCTAGGAGGAAACTGGTGCATTTTGAACCCCTGAAAATAGCATTAAAAACAAAAACAAACAAAAACACACACAAAAACATTTAACAAACCATTTAAATGATAATAACATAAAATAGAATGCATGATATGAGATAAAATTATATAGGAAAAAGTCACAAGAAAGCTTTATATTAAATATGCGTAGCTCTTTTTAGGTGATTTTGAAGTAAAAGAAACGCTGCTTTTGTTCCGTACTATTTTCTGTGCAATTAATTTTAAGTTTCATAATAACTGAATTTATCATGGAACATAGAAGAAAAAAACTATATAATTCAATAATTTTACATAAATAGAAATAAAGAAACAAATCTTTTAAACCTTAAAAGTCGTTTGCCTTTCTTCCCTGAAAACGTCTCCAGGCTATAAACAAGTAACTGTAAAACAAGTTGACACGGTTATACGTACTTCTATTTTGCCCGGGACAATATCGCACAAATAGCCATTAATGGCTTAACAATCAAAGGTGCTACTTCATATTCGAGCAATGCTCAGTCACATGATTGACCTATTTAGCGAATTTTAAAAGATCTGCCTGTCTAATCGTGTAAGTTCGAAGATCCTCGTATATTCCCCATGATCGATGTTTCATTAAAATGGAGAAAATAATTATTCTAAAGTAATGCAAAAATATACATGAAAAAAAAACAACAACAAAAAAAACAAGATATGTTTGTAAAACATGTATGCCCCCTATCAGCAGCCAATTAGTCATGTGATAAGGTTATTATGCATGACTTCTGACCCAGTGATCAAACAATTAATAAGGGTTATAAAGTATCTACTGGTCATGACCTTGACCTTTGACCCCTTGACCCAAAACTCAATAGGGGTCATCTGCTGGTCACGACCAATCATCAAACAAAGTTTGAAGTTCCTAGGCCTAGGCGTTTTTAGTAAATTGATCAGAAACGTTTTTACCTACAAGGTCAATGTGACCTTGACCTTTGACCCCTTGACCCCAAAATCAATAGGTCATCTGCTGGTCATGACCAATCACCATACCAAGTTTGAAGTTCCTAGGCATAAGGGTTCTTAAGTTATTGATCTGAAAGCATTTTTACGTACAAGATCAATGTGACCTTGCCCTTTAACCCCTTAACCCCAAAATCAATAGGGGTCATCTGCTGGTCATGACCAATCACCATACCAAGTTTGAATTTCCTAGGCCTAAGGGTTCTTTAGTTATTGATCGGAAACCGTTTTACCTAAGAGGTCAATGTGACCTTGACCTTTGACCCCTAGACCCCAAAATCAATAGGGGTCATCTACTGATCATGACCAATCACCATCTCAAGTTTGAAGTCCCTAGGCCTAAGGGTTCTTTCATTATTGATCGGAAACCGTTTTTACCTACAAGGTCAATGTGACCTTGACCTTTGACCCCTTAACGCCAAAATCAATAGGGGTCATCTGATTGGTCATAACCAATCACCATACCAAGTTTGAAGTTCCTAGGCCTAAGGGTTCTTTTGTTATTGATCAGAAAACCGTTTTTTAATTAAAAAGTCAATGTGACCTTGACCTTTGACCCCTTGACCCCAAAATCTATACGGGTCATCTACTGATCATGACCAATCACCATACCAAGTTTGAAGTTCCTAGGCCTTAAGGTTCTTTAGTTATTGATCGGAAACCGTTTTTACCTAAAAGGTCAATGTGACCTTGACCTTTGACCCCTTGACCCCAAAATCAATAGGGGTCATCTACTGATCATGACCAATCACCATACCAAGTTTGAAGTTCCTAGGCCTAAGGGTTCTTTTGTTATTGATCAGAAACCGTTTTTAATTAAAAGGTCAATGTGACCTTGACCTTGACCCCTTGACCCCAAAATCTATACGGGTCATCTACTGATCATGACCAATCACCATACCAAGTTTGAAGTTCCTAGGCCTTAAGGTTCTTTAGTTATTGATCGGAAACCGTTTTTACCTACAAGGTCAATGTGACCTTGACCTTTAACCCCTTGACCCCAAAATCAATAGGGGTCATCTACTGATCATGACCAATCACCATACCAAGTTTGATGTTCCTAAGCCTTAAGGTTCTTTAGGTATTGATCGGAAACCGTTTTTACCTACAAGGTCAATGTGACCTTGACCTTTGACCCCTTGACCCCAAAATCAATAGGGGTCATCTACTGATCATGACCAATCACCATACCAAGTTTGAAGTTCCTAGGCCTTAAGGTTCTTTAGTTATTGATCGGAAACCTTTTTTACCTACAAGGTCAATGTGACCTTGACCTTTGACCCCTTGACTCCAAAATCAATAGGGGTCATCTACTGGTCATGACCAATCACCATACCAAGTTTGAAGTTCCTAGGCCTTAAGGTTCTTTAGTTATTGATCGGAAACCGTTTTTGCTTTCAAGGTCAATGTGACCTTGACCTTTGACCCCTTGACCCCAAAATCAATAGGGGTCATCTACTGGTCATGACCAATCACCATACCAAGTTTGAAGTTCCTAGGCCTTAAGGTTCTTTAGTTATTGATCGGAAACCGTTTTTGCTTTCAAGGTCAATGTGACCTTGACCTTTGACCCCTTGACCCCAAAATCAATAGGGGTCATCTACTGGTCATGACCAATCACCATACCAAGTTTGAAGTTCCTAGGCCTAAGGGTTCTTTAGTTATCACTCGGAAACCATTTGGTCTACAGACCGACGGACCGACGGACCGACAAGTGCAAAGCAATATACCCCCTTTTTTTCAAAATGGGGGCATAACAAACAATACAAACAATTAGTGCTATGAAAAGCTGACTCAGATTTTCTTATTTAGGGTACAGTAACATCATGAAAATTTCAAGCAAGAATGATAAATCAAAGCACTGAAAGTACTGTTGGAAGGAAATTTTCATAGAAATTCCCAATGTGTGTGAATTAAAAACAAAGGAATATGTGCAAGCTTCGATCTACAGCTTGCTGATTTGATGACACAAAATGTGACGTCATTGTTTCTGTTTTTGCACTACTCATGTTCAGTGGGCTGATAACTAGTTCTTGGCCCAGGGCCCCAAACCCATAAGTTGTGACACTCATAATCAGTTGAAATCATAGGTAATTCTGTTTCTAATAAGTGAATTAATAGATAATACTACTGCATTATGAACACAAAGAACCACTCAGTTTGACCTAAATCGGCCATGACTTATATAACTACTTCATAGGAATTCAAGACCATGCCATAAGCATTATCTAATCATAGTTAATGAAGAGACTGTTTATTTTAACTCAAGGACAAGAAAAGCTCATCATGTGCTTACATGTGTAAGTTCAAACATGACTAATTGTGTTTCAGTATGAAATTGATGTACATGCTGTTAAAGTCATAGCAAAACAAAGAACAATGATTTAAAGTAAACTTTTATTGTCAAAACTTGCATAAAAGTAAAAATATATGTGATATAAAAAATAAATGCTTAAATATATGGAGATAATGAAATTTAGTTTGTCAGATAAACTGTGTGAAAGGAACTCCACTGAAGTTTTTTGACATGATGAGACTGAAATTCATTTTCTAGATTAATGTACCACTTGATGTATATTTTGACCACTTATCTTTGAGAAAAATTTCAGATCATTTGCGCACTTCGTTTTTCAAGAATAATTATTCAATTTGTAAAAAAATGACCCAAAATAAAAGCGTTTAAACACATTTCACGAAGATCAGGCTGAGAAAAGCATAAAAAATCGATGTTCAATTTATTTCAAAGTATATTTCTTCACTATCTGTGCATATATTTCTGTATCAAGTGCCCCGGCTCATTTCTGTAGAAATTCAAATGTTATGTTTTAGGCTTTTAAACCTCAATGGAGTGAGTCCCTTTAAATTATTGGTACATATTGAGGTGACACAAGTTATAACAATCTGAATGAAAGAAGCTTTAATGCAAACGGCCAGTGGTATAGGAGGTGCTGTTTTAAGGATTTTTTACATACAAGACTGATATTATACAACAAAATATAGTCAAAAGTAGAAATGTGCCCACAGGACTTGAATGCCTGCGTTAAGAACAATGCTTATATTGAGTGAGTAATCAAAATATGTACATAATTAGACAAGCCCACTGGCAGCATATCGAGCCTGTTGCCTTCATTCAGAACTGAACCTTAAAGCTTCAGATTAGGGAGAAAGATGTATACATAAATGAACATTTCATGATTTGTGATAAATGTTATGAAAATCCAGCCATGTATATAGAAATATACTCTCATGTTTTAATTTATTATTTGACTTTTGATCGACAGAGTTACTAACGTCCCCTGCCTCAGGGATGTTTTATATGAAACAAAAAATTGTGCTATTTCAAAAGATTGAGCCAGGGATCTAATGATTTTCAGTCCAAAATTATGATCAATGCTAGATCTGCAAATGCAACAATATATTTATTAAAGAAATAAAATGAAATACTGAATTTCAAAATCTATCATGTTAAGCTTTGCAGGGATTTTTTGGCTCATTTTATAGCCGTTATTGGGACATATTATTTTCCCAATCCACAGGAAAATATTCCCAATTGAAAGTTACAAAAATATAGATATTGAATAAAGAATTCTAAAATCTTTGAAAATAAGGGCTTCTTCACTGTTATAGTGTTAAAATGTTTGAAGAAGCCATTCTAGGCAGTGATTGCTTGCATACATTTAATCACTACAAAATTTCAGTCATGTATTTTTTCCCAATTTTTAAGAAAATATTGCTGAAATTCCCAGTTCCATGGGTATGGGTTATGTTCCCAAAATCCTGGAAAAAATCCCTGCTTTGACCTGTAAGTGTGACCTTGACCTTGGAGGTAGGGGTGCAGGTGTTGTGCATGACATATCATCTTATCATTGTAACTATTTGTGCCAAGTATTTTCAAAATCCCTTCATCTATGAAGAAGTTATGGACGGTGCATAAAATATACCATATAACAGACTTTGTTACCTTTATACCTCTAAGTGTGACCTTGACCTTGGAGGCAGGGGTGCAGGTGTTGTACTTGACATATAGTCTTATTATTGTGACTATTTGTGCCTATGTGTTATTTCAAAATTCCTTGAACTATGAAGAAGTTCTACATTGGACACAATATATACCCTTTAAAAGACTATGTTAATTTTTTACCTCGAAATGTGACCCTGTCCTTGGAGGTAGGGATGCAGGTGTTGCGCATGACACATTGTCTTATTATAGTGAATATTTGTGCCAAGTGTTTTCAAAATCCTTTGATATAGGAAAAAGTTATGGAACGGACAAAAAAAATACCCTATAACAGGCTATGTTATTCTTAGACCTCCAAGTGTGACCTTGACCTTGTAGGTTGGTGACCGATTGTTGCGCATGACACATCATCTCATTGTTGTGAACAACTGTGGCAAGTATTTACAAAATCCCTTCAAGATAAGAAAGGTATAGACTGGACACGAGATATACCCTCAAATAGACAATGTTGACCTTGAATGAGCAAGTGTGACCTTGACCCTAATGGTAGGGGTCTGGTTATTGCGCATCATCATCTTATTATAACAAACATTTGTGCCAAGTTATTTCAAATTCCTTCAATAAATGACAAAGTTATGGACCAGACACGAAATATACCCTGTAACAGGTTATGTTAATATTTGGCCTCCAAGTGTGACCTTAACCTTGGAGGCAGGTGACCTGTTGTTGCGCATGACACATCTTCTCATTATTGTGAGCAATTGTGGCAAGTATTTACAAAATCCCTTTAGAGATAGGAAAGTTATAGACCAGACATGAGATATACTCTCAAATAGACAATGTTGACCTTGAATGAGCAAGTGCGACCTTGACCCTGGAGGTAGGGGTCTGGTTGTTGCACATGACTCATCGTCTTATTATAACAATCATTTGTGCCAAGTAATTCAAATTCCTTCGATAAAACCTTGAAGTTGATAAAGATTTGTTCATACATATTTCAACAAGAGGGCCATGTGTATATAGGCCCCTGGAGCGGGGCCAGTTTAAACCCCAGGGTTTTTATTTGAACAAACTTGTATGACACCCATTAGAAGATGTTTCATGATGTTAAGTTTTTTCTACCCAAATATAATGTAAAACAAAGACCTCTGCACCACCACCCACCCCCGGCATGGCCAATTTTTATCCAAGGGCTTAAATTTGACCAAACTTGGTAGACACCATAAGAAGATGTTTCATGCTAAACATCTAGGCTCTAGCTCATTGGGTTTTTTAAAAGAAGATTTTTTAAGTTTTTACTATACACATATAGTTAAAAACAATGAAACCCCTGGGGCGGGGCCAGTTTTGACCCCAGGGCTTTTATTTGAACAAACTTTGTACACACTTACCAGAAGATGTTTCATGCTTAATATCTAAACTCTAGCTATTTGGGTTTTTTCAAAGAAGGTTTTTAAGTTTTTGCTATACACATATAAGGAAAATCAATGACCCCCGGTGCGGGGCCAATTTTGACCCCAGGGCTTTTATTTGAACAAACTTTGTACACACTTACCAGAAGATGTTTCATGCTTAATATCTAAACTCTAGCTATTTGGGTTTTTTCAAAGAAGGTTTTTAAGTTTTTGCTATACACATATAAGGAAAATCAATGACCCCCGGTGCGGGGCCAATTTTGACCCCAGGGCTTTTATTTGAACAAACTTTGTAGACACTTACCAGAAGATGTTTCATGCTTAATATCTAAACTCTAGCTATTTTGGTTCTTTAAAAGAAGATTTTTAAGTTTTTACTATATGCATATAGGGAAAATCAATGACCCCTTGGGGCCGGGGCAATTTTGACCCCAGGGCTTTTATTTGAACAAACTTGGTAGACACTCACTAGAAGATGTTTCATGCCAAATGTCTAAGCTCTAGCTCTTTGGGTTCTTTAAAAGAAGATACTTTGTCTAAGCTCTAGCTCTTTGAGTTCTTTAAAAGAAGATACTTTATGTCATTTTCTTTTGGTTGCCATGGCAACCAGCGTTCTGCATGAAATTAAATTCTATGAACAGTATTTAAAGGTGACCACCAAAGGAACATTCCTGTAAAGTTTGGATGAAATTGGCTAAGTGGTTTATGAGGACATTTCATTTAAAGTAAAAGTTTACGGACGGACGCCGGACGAAAAGCGATCAAAAAAGCTCACCCTGTAACTTTGTGACAGGTGAGCTAAAAATAGTTAAGTGATCTTATTTTCCTGGTGAAAAACTGGTGGCTCATTAAAGTTCTATACATATTATGATATTTCAAATATTGGAAAGTTATCTCTAGTTATTGGTGAAAGACTGGTGACTAGTTTTCTCCTCAATGTCATTTCTTTTTCTAATTAGATTAAGTCATGGTACTATATTCATGAGACTTTCGACATCACATCTAAGAACTCATTATCCAACATTGCAAAGGGCAGGCAGTCTCCTGGTATTCCAATTTCTTTTAAGTTTTATAAAACCACAATATTTCTATTTCTTTAGTGTTTCCGACATGAAGACGCATCTACATGTATCTTTCCTTATCGCTCCTGCTTTATCTGTTCTATCATATAAGCGCCTCTGTTTCCTGAAATATTTGTTTAGAAAAAGTTAATTGCAAAATTAAATTAAAATTCCACTATTTTTATAAAAAAAAAAAAAAAAATTTTTTTTTTTTTTGGGGGGGGGGGCAATTTTCAGCACAATTTCCTTCCAGCTTTACTGGTTGAGGAAGACCTTGGTGCACCTATGTGTATGATTTCAGGCACATGGATACCATCAATGTTCCATAAATGAGCTTTCTCACATGAAAAAATGCTGAGCTTGAACTTACAGCAGTGAAAGGAGTCAATAAACTAAAACAATCAGTCACAGACACCCCGGGTATTTTATCTATTTGCTTAGCAGCAATTTTTTCAAAATTATTCAAATTCATAAATGTGAGTGATTCTGGCTAAGTGATGATAAGATGATCATATATGTCAGATATGTTGGAGTGCTAACACTGCTTACTGTGAATATTCAATATTTTAATGTGAATTGTCCTGAGGTGAAAAGGAAAGGAAAGCTGAATTCCTAAATACATGTTACATGTCACAATTGTTCTTGCTATTAATTTTGGACCTAATTTCTTGTATAAGATATTTAAATACACTAATTCTTTTTTATAAATTTGGCTTTTTGTGACAATAGTCTATCCAGTGACAGAAGCTCACTGACTTAAAATAAACTGTCCTGTGTCAGCCTTTAAACAAGTCAAGAATAAAAGCTATTAGAAAATAATAATTAAGAAATATCATATACAAATACTTCTAAATAATCATGTACCTCTTCCTTAAATGCCCATGCCTTTGAAAGAAACATTTTTCCATTTATTCACTTCAAGGTTAGTCAGATTGACAGTCTCACATTTTAGCCTTTATCTCTCATGATTTCATTGTCATTGACCCTAAAGCATCCTTAAAATCGATATCCTGCTGCTCACATTCATAAATCTGACATGTAGGCCGAACTTCTGAAAAATAAAATATAATTATTATTAGATATACATATAGTATCCCAATTATTATGTTAGTTGATATCAAATCAATAATTTAAGCAGCTAATGTTCGAAATTAGCAGTAGTCTGAGAGCCCGACTACTAAATTTCTCCTCGGGCTACCAACTTTTCACAGTAAAAAGCCTGACCAGGCTACTGTATTTTCAGAGGCAATAAAAACAACTGTTTTGAACAAATGAATCGTGCTAGTGAAATGTCTTTTGGGCAAGTAAATATTTCAATCTAATAGTCCGACCAGCCAAGTCGATTCAAATCCTAATTTCTTACACTGTTTAAGAGACAATTTGTTCAAAATTGTCCAAGCATAAAGATTTTTATAGTATACTATGTATATGTTAGTGTTCATCCGTGCTGTTCTACAGAAATAAGAAACTTCGATGGGAGCAATAGCGACAGGAGAATGTTTCTAATTTCTGTAGAACAGCACGGATGAATACTAACATAGTTAGCGTCAAACTTTATTTGGCCTCATTATCATTCACTTTATTACGTCACTATGCAGTTTTATGAAGTACCATGAAAAATAGAAGTCGACTATGGAGGTAATTCGATATAGTATCGACTTTTGTACTAAATCTATGAAAATTAACGCACACAATTTTTAAGAGATACAGCGTTTTCATTGGATGACAAATAAAGTTGGACACTAAAGTAATTATAGTATATATACAGTATGTATTAAATGTCTTTACTATCTACTATACTGTCCTGAAATTTCAAGAAAACAACAACTATCTTTAAAATCCATTGTCTCAGAAGTTGCAAAACCAAGTAAATGAAATTGTTCTGGGTTTGTATTATTCTGTACAACTTCTGATCACAAAAGCTTCAAGGACATTTATGAGTGAGTCAGGTCCTATCCTGAAAGATTGTTGTTCAAGCATTCAAAAATAACAAAGTTATAGCTACTAATAGCAAAAATCAAGAAAATTTAGACCTTTATTTACCTTAAAATTTACCTTGAATGTTAATATGGTGGTCAAGTTAATTAAGTTTAGTCTGGTCTATTTGAAGGGTTGTTGTGGCCATGTATGAAGACAATACACCAAGATCTGAAAAAGTTATGAACAAGGTTAAAGTTTTTTGACAGCAATAGGAAAGCCGTCATGACTAACAATATATTTTGGCCCTAATGCAAACTGAAAATTCTCGCCTATAACACTGTTGAGACTAGCTGTTCAGCATTTTTTCAATAATAAATAAATGCAATGATTAAGTCGGTAACTTGCAAGTCTTCTAACATTTTTACAAAGAATGAACATATGTATTTCTTCCTAATAATTCTAAAATGATGTTCAGTCATTTATATTATAACAAGATATCGGAAAGATTATAGATATATCAGAAATGAATTGGCCCGTGGACTTTAATGTCAATCATAGAGCTCTTATGCAAAAAGTAATGGTAAGCAAACATCCAGCATGAAATTTTCAAATAGCCAGAAGTTAAATAAAATTATTAAAAATACTTTGTCATGATTCAACTACTGCTGAAAATTGACCCACATGTTTGATTACAAATTTATAACATCTATATTGTCCATAGAAATAATGAATTAATTTTCAGTCTCTTTCTCTTTGCACTTTCACACAGATTTGAATTATTCAAGTCCATGATTTTCAGAAGGAAAAAATCTTCTGATCATCAAACACTAAAAATTACTATACCAACTGCAAATTGCAGTCTGTGCGAAAAGGCTGTCTGTCAGTCCTCGGACCTCGCCAAATAAAAATCAGGAGGGCTGAGATAAATTTTGATACAGTGATCGAATATCAATTGTACACAACAGTTAAATATATTATAAACTTATTTCTATGTTAATAGATAGTCTATATACAATAGATATGAAAAAGCAAATCCTACACAACAGTCAACACTGTAAATTCGAATCAGGGTCAGCTCGGCCCTAAAACGTACTTGGCCCTCGAGTCAGCTTGGCCCTATTCCAACTCAGCACGGGTCAACTCGGCCCATAATTATATATTACTGGTAATGATTACTTTTCTTACTTTTGATATGTTTTCATCATAACTTTCATGGTTTAACATTTTCACACTACTGTAACAGACATCTACTCAAGGATATTGAAAAGTTTTATCACGGATTTATATTACATTAAATTATGTAATATAAATCCGTGGTTTTATTGATGAAAGTACCAATTTGTATGTGAATTTGTAGAGAAAGAAAGAATTACAAATTTAAACGCATATTTTGCTACTCCAGATTTTTTGTAAAAAAATATCATTAAAAAAGCATTTGTCATATTAAAGAACAAACAGTATTAATTTAAATACAATAAAATTCATTGTCACAAAAATTCAATCTAAAAACTCTATTTATTGATCAATATTTAACATATATTGTCTTGTCTCTTGATATGTCTTCTTCAGATAATTATTTATCTTAAAGATAATTTCAAACAATATGTTATTAACTAAACAATCTATATCCTAATCCTAATATATGGTTTTTAGAGGGCCGAGTTGACTATGTCACTTGTCCCGAGTTGGTGTAGGGCCGAGTTTACCTGTAAATTCAATAATGTAAACAATCCTTGACCTAATTTCGTTTGTCTAACAAATTAACATCTGCAAACACAAAGCGATTTTGAACAAAGAAATAAAAGCATTTCCACAAACCTTTGCGATGTTATTCATCAGCAAATCTATGTCTTGAAATCTGAAAAACACGAACGTTATTCTGTCGATGGTCCGAACGGTGTGCCCTACTTATTAGTCTAAAGCAAGTTTTACCAAATTGCATCCGTTAATTCCAAAATACTTTTGAAAGACTTGTACTGAAATATTGTTTTTTATTATTTACATAATAATATTTTTGTTTCAAACGCTTTGATTCTATGATAATTTGCGAACCATTTTTTTGCAAAAATAGTATGCCTTTTTAAGGCCACATATTGTATCCATTGTTTCCTCTTGAGTTATCGACGTAAAAAATTCAGCGGTGGCATAAAATGCTATTCAATAAATTGCTAAATATATACAAAAAATACTTTTATTTCCCTTCGGTTGACTTATATGTGAACTTTTCAGCATCTCTGCTACAAAATTACACCTTATTTATATTCAATTTATTGTACATAGGTACATGGACACCAATTTTTCTTTGGCCTAATGCGTAATAATACTGATGTTTTTTTTCGTACACGTTTAAGATTATGTTCCATTGATGTAAGCTAACATTGAATATCATCATTTCAAGTTTTTTTGAACATCATCTTTTTCTTCAAATCATCCACGTTTGAAAGTATACATATAGTTCTGCTGCACTACTTTCTTGGTCGCATTCACTACTTGTTTTCTATTGAGCTTAAACAGAAGTCAATTAGGTGTTGTTCGTTCTTTTTAATATGAGCAGACCGTTACTATAGAAAGGAAATTTTTTTTTGAAAAAATTTCCTTCCAAAAATCATTTGTAGCCGCCACCGGAAGCCCTACTCCAGAATATTGTTAGTCTTGTTTTATTTTATTCTAAAATCAAACAAGACTAATTATATATGACTTCGGTCTAAGATTATTTGACTATTATTAGATTATTTCTCGTCGAAAGAATAGTGAGTAATTGGATAAGTAGTCAAAGTGTGTTGTTGTTGTTTTTCTGATAGAATGTCAGACGTTATGCAAGACATGATAGAGTTTCTGCATCTTCCAACTGTTAATGTCGTCGAAAAAAACATTCAATGCTGTTACTTTGTTCCTGGGAATGACCATCCTTTTAATTTTATTTTGATAAACTAAATTCTTGCTGACTTGCGATATCAAGTTCGCTACATATATTGTGTCCTGTTGAGAGAGTTAAAATATCGCCTGTTAAAATTAAGGTGGTGGTGGTAGTTTTCACTCCAGATCATGGCAGTAAGCCACATTGAAATCACTTGAGTACAGTTCAGCCGCCGCATCTTTCCTGGGCAGGCTGTCAAGCAGTTTGCCAGTACTGGTTGCCTTTACTTTCGCAAGGAACTGGTTACTTCTGTACATGCAAGAGCAGAGGTACAATGCGAATGACCGTAGAAAGGATTTCATGATCAATCACAACGAAAGTGACTTGCGCCGTCCAGGAATCGAACCCGGGTCGCCCGATTCACAGTCCAACGCTCAAGCTATTGAGCTCATCGGACGGCTTTGACTAAATCTCTTGTTTTAGCTCCACTATTTGAAGGATAGGGAGAGCTATTGTATTATCCCAGGTGTCGGCGTCAAATTTTGCGTGCAATATGGTATCTCAAAAACTACTGAAGGGAATGGGTTGAAATACAACTCTCTTATTAAGAGCATAATATGAGGTCACTATCTAAGATTCATTATTTAAAAAATTCAACAATATCCAGCACTTGTTTGACTATCAAGCACTGAGAAAAGTCTAGCACAGTGATCTTGTTAATATATACGTAGCGAGATATAACATCCGCTTTCGAAGAACTTTAGTCCCTGATACTGTAACTATATAAGGTACAGTTGAGTTCACACTAAAGGTTACACAAAGTGCACTTGGAGTACACTAGATGTGCACTACTAGTGCACTTGATCTGCACTTTGAAGTGCACTTCGAAGTGCACTAGACCTGTTATATGTATTAAGCAGTTACTTTTTATTTCAATGAATAGCAATTAGACTTTTACAAAAAATATATATCTGTGTAATAGTTTTTTCATGATAAAGTTGTGAATATTGGATTTTATAAAATATGGTGTAAAATATAAGAACAATAATTTTTTAAAGTCATTAATTTTACTGATTTTTTACTTTAAAACTTAATTGTTTAATTACTTAAAGATCCTGTAACACAATTTTTTCATGGTTTTATTTCATAAATATGATGCTCAAATTAAGATTTGTCAATATTTTAAGTTCCAATAAGCATTATTTATAAAGATATTACCCAATTTAACATTTCATGTAAATAAAGGGAGGTAATTAGAAATTTATTTTCTATAAATTCTAAGTCAAATTTTCCAATAAGAAATGAATGCATGTAATTTATTGATTAAATATAATGTGCACAAATATTTGCCGTACACATTTTACATATTCTTTGATGTTTGAAAATTGTTTTACATTGTATTTGCATAATTATATACATATGTAATTTTTTGCAAGTGTGGTATACACACAGTAACAATATCAATCACAAAACATGCAGGATCTTTAATAAGTAAATATAAATAATTATAACTTTAATGTTGATGAGTGCATAAATAAACAAAATTAATTGATATTTAGCATGATTCTATTTTATAACAATCTGGTAATGAAAAATGAAACCTTGAAATGCTAATTTGACAAAATTCAGTCATTTTTTGATAATTATTTATTCTTAAGCATGCGACAAATTCAACATTGAAATAGCACTATTAAAAAGTTTAATGTAATTTCTCACAGCTTCATCAATAAAAATAAGAAAGGGCGACACATGACTTTATCTCGTGCTCACGACATAGTAACTTGCACATGATTTAATAAGTAACTCGTGTGCACGGCATAATATCTCGTGCGCACGTCATAGTATCTCGTGCTCACGACAAAGTAACTCTTGTGCATGACTTAATTAGCTCGTGTGCACAACTTACTTATTGTGCGCACGAGATAGTATCTCGTGCGTCGTGCGCGCGAGATAAGTAAAAACATTCACATGTCACCTGTGTGTCACCGTACCGATCTGTTAAATCCGTTGGTTAGCGGGCAACAGGCGGGCATGTATACTACGCTAGAAGCATATGGTGTAAGCTACCGAATGAAAATCAGAAAAAGGTAAGTAACTGTATATGTATATGTTGCTAACAGTTACATACCCTTTTTCTATTTTTTTTGCGCTTTCATTGATAATAACCTCTGACTTAAGTAGCTCTACCACATAAATTGTAGAGACAAAAACTCTCACAAATCAAGACGTTTATTTTGAACACACGACGCAAGTAAGTTCACGCCCGTTTACATATGGCGGACACGGAAGGGATCCACAGCGCCCTTCAACTGGATAAATAACATGTTGGTCGTCATTTTGTGCACCATGGGGGTTGAAATCTGGTTTGGCGTCTAGACAAATATGGTCTGAGGCAGTCTTAAGGTCGTATATGCTGACGTCATCAGATATCCCCAATACTCCAATGTCCATCCAGTGTAACAGTTCTTTCTTGCAGGTATCATCAATGAGGTTGTACGCTTAGATTTACAGACTGTGCACGGGAGGTCTTGGTTGTTTACCGGATATTCAAATATGGGATTTGGTTCTTGAAGATTAATCTCTGTACCGAAAAGAGTACCTCTCCAGCTGGTTGTAATGTTGTCATAGTTTGCCCATGTCGGGTCATTAGGTAGACAAAGATGGTTAGTTCCGCTCCCTGGATCCGAGCTATACTTCCCAGCAATGTATCCTGAATTACAATAATTAAAAAAGCAAATACATTTTTTGTAAATTCTCTGAAATCCATTTTAAGCTACGCTTATTAAACCTAGCAGTCAAATCTTGCAACCGCCATTAAATGCTGCATAGTCGTATGTTGCAATGCTAACGGCAGACCTAAATGTCGTAGTTTAGTTAATAATCAAAGCACAGAAGGCATTGAATTTGTTGTGTCTCAGAATGTCAGAAAGGTAAAGGTTTTGAAAATATAAACCAATTTGTTTTTGTATAGTGCCATCAATGCTGTTTTCAGTGTTATAACTGTTATAAATTGGTAATAAGGCTAATTGCAACACTGATATTCAAAAACAAACAAAAACAAAACAAAAAAACATGAGTTGCCTGAAGTTGGATTTAAAGTCAAGACCTCAGACCTCCTGATAACAGCCAGAAGAAAACCACATTATTTTAAATTAGGGTTTGTAACCCTTATCAATTTCGAGGTACATTTGTATTTTGTTCACTGTAAACCTGTTGTTTAACACTGATGTAAATAATCATGGAGCTTAATATAAGCATGTATATCTGTAAAGAATTACACAATATTAGAAATCTTCGACCAATCGGGAACTATTTTTTCTTCCCCTGGAAGACTTGAAAATTTATGCGCCTGTCATTTGACAATCTTTACTCAGTGATCTCCCCTTCAATTTTCGGCGTAAGTGTCCTTATAAAGGGAAGTAACCGCTTCGTGGAGTTCGGACTACTTTCGGTTTTTGAAAATAAGCATATCAGGGTCTGAAATTTCGCTACCATTATTTGTTTGGTCTGACGAACCGAACAAATAATGAAAATGAATATATTCAATAAAATTTATAGTGATAACGAAAGTGAAATTCAAGTAACATTAAAGGTTAAAGAACGTAATTCGGTATAAGATTTTAGAATACTTCACCTTGGTAAATCACCTCTGAATCACTTGAGCAACTATTTTTACCCCATCTTATGTAAGTGCTACCTGTCATGTCTGAAAATAATATGAATGTTGGTATTGTTCTAACAAAAACCGGTATTTATAAGTACAATGAACGGTTTATCATTATATGGTCGAAAGAAAACTAGGTTAAGATAAGTACATTATATCATACGTTTGACATATAGACATCGTCCATTTGTAATTATTCTGTACATTTGACAAAGACATCGTCCATAAGTATATTATACTGTACGTTTGGCATATAGACATCCCTAAGTATATTCTATCGTACATTTGATAAGATATCGTCCATAAGTACATTATATCGAACATTTGACATAAAGACATCGTCCATAAGTACATTATATCGTACATTTGACATGGTCCATAAGTACATTTTATCATACATTTGACAAAGACATGGTCCATAAGTACATTACATCGAACATTTGACATAAAGACATCGTCCATAAGTACATTTTATCATACATTTGACAAAGACATCGTCCATAAGTACATTATATTATACATTTGAAAACAGACATCGTCCATAAGTACATGATATCATACATTTGTCATAGACATCTTCCATAAGTACATTATATCATACATTTGACAAAGACATCGTCGATAAGTACATTATATTATACATTTGACAACAGACATCGTCCATAAGTACATGATATCATACATTTGTCATAGACATCATCCATAAGTAAATTATATCATACATTTGACAAAGACATCGTCGATAAGTACATTATATTATACATTTGACAACAGACATCGTCCATAAGTACATGATATCATACATTTGTCATAGACATCATCCATAAGTACATTATATATCGTGCATTTGACTTACAATAACTATTATACATTGAAAAAACGATGTGTTGAACATTTACAATAGATAAGAATCGTTCATTTACATACGTATCGTACATTAAGTATTATACATTGAATGTATGAGTCTTGCATTTAACAGAGGTGTCGTTCATTTGATGAGTGTATCGTACATTGGACATCTGTATCCTACATAAGCCACAAGTACATTTGGCTCTGTACCCAATATAAACCAAAAGACAAAAATAACGTATCAAGAAAACAAAAATTACCCCTTCTCAAATGCACAATAGTAATGTCAATAGAGGATTTCTAACTAAAATAAAATAAAATTGATCGGTTACAGGCTTCCATAGGCTAAATGATTACTTTCACAATATATCTCAATAAAACAAAAATACCCCAGATAGAGCTGATAATCAATTAAAATCGTAACTTCCTGATTATACATGTAGCATTTAAATCATAATGAAATTGTATTATTGCATCATAGATATAGTAGGGAACTTTAAATCTAGTTACCCTGAGTTAAGTTTCCTAATCCATTTATAACATTGTTTAAAGACTGTTCAAGTCTGCCCACCCGAGTGTGCACGGACGCCACATCAGATTGTTCCAGATGGTTGACTTTTGACTGCAGTTCTGTTACCTGCATTTTCAAAGCATTGTTGTCTGACGTCAGATTAGCTAGTTCAGATTTGAGTTTCAATAACTCATTCATCACGTCAGATTCCGAATGAAGCAGGAGTCGCTTGTTGTCTGCTTTGCCACATTCTTTCATGTCACAAATATTCAAATTACAGAATATTCCTAGAAAGATTATACACACAATGCTCATGTTCATTTCTGTGGCACAAGTTAGAATGGTTAATGACAAATGTTTGATTCTATAATACGTGTACTTTTTAGATAAGAACAGGGATCATTTGAGAACAGATGTATGTGATATCAATCTAATGTTAAAAACAGGGCAACATTTTGACATTTTCCGTCAAACTTCGGATAAGGATTGAGGCGATCGGAAAAAATAATTGACTTGTATTTCAGTGCACCTCAACGTCTTCAATTTGTACCATTATGAAGAAAGTTATCAAGTCATTTTAGTCTGACCGACAGTTCTACAAAATGCCCCATATAATAATGCTCAGTTTCTTCTTCCACCATTTAATTAAGCTAGGGGGTCGCTGTATATTTGAAGCGGTCTACTTCATTTAAACGTAAAATTTCGATATGCGGTAGAGATAAAATATTCTGCCTAATATTTTTAACACAATTTGGGTTGATTCAAATTCACATTTTCAATACCTACAT